TATATATTTTTTTTGTTTTTGTAAAGTCTAAATTTCATTAGAACCAAATTTATGCTGCCGCATAGCGTTTTGTCGCCCACACAGCCTCAGATGAAAATTTGTACAAACACACAATATACAAAAACAACAATAAAACCGTTACACGCAATTAAAAACGACTACAACAACAACATATAAACACAAACATAAATTTAATACTTTTGATATGCATTTTTTAAGTAATTTATTTTTAACGAATAAAATTAAATGAACTTCATTTGATTTGAGTAAAAACTAAAGCATATTTTTTTAGAAATAGAAAACTTTTGCTAGTTTGCCAAAACAACAAATTGTTACACATAGAAAACTTGAAAATGTAATGACGAAGTTGAGCTAAATTTTTTTCAAATTTATTACTATTTTCTAAACTAATAGCTTGGTTTATTAAAAAAAAAATTGCTAAAAATTGTAAAAAATAAAAAAAAAGTTAAAAAAAAGTATTTTGTTGCTGCGTTGCGAAAAAATTTTCTACAATATTTTTAATGTTTTTCAAATAAATGACGGTCTCCGGTGCCCCTACTTTATTTTTTTATTTTTAAATTTTCTTTTACAATATTCTATAACATTTTAAACTGTTGTATAACTGTATATTTTTATATAACAAAGTATTTATTTGTCTAAATATCGTGTCATGTTTTAAATTTATATATATAAATATATTTATTTTTTGGTATCTGCCACGTTTTTCGTTGCGCAACAAATTTTCGTAAACAAAAAGTTTTGATAATAATAAAACACATTAAATAATTTACACAAATAAAAAGTGCTAAAAGTGACGTGCATCATTTAAAATTAAACATAAAATAAAATAATAGTGTTTATAATAATTTTATTAGGTTTTTCATATATATATATACATACATATTTATAGCAACACTTATATATAGAGCGTAAATAATGTTTATGCATTGAAATGCGTAAGAAATGTGAACATAAAAATAAAAAAAAAAATATTTAAACAAATAAGTTTTAAGTTCATAATTTGCGCCTAAAAGTATGGCAAGCGTTATTTAGTGACAAATTATTTATTTAACAGTAAAATTTGCTGCGTGCGCACGATTTTGTACGCGGCTAGTGCTAAAAATGCTGAAAATAGGAAAGCGACAAAGTGTGCAATCAATTTTTTTTATAAAATGTCGACGAAAAAAATCTGAATTGTAATAAAAATACATGAATTAAAAAACAAAAACATTGCACAACAACAAGGTACACTCGTAACGGTTCTAACAGTAATTTATATTGCCATAAATTAAAGAAGTACATATATAAAAATTAAAGTTTTGCTGCTCAGTGCGCAGCAATGTTAATAGAAATGGTTAAACGGATTTATTGTCTTGCAGCAACAGTCCTTTAGTGCAGTTTTCATTTGCGCTTGCTGTGTATTTGATTTCGATATTTGTGTTAAAAGCGAAATTTTGGTTATTGTTCGAAATATAAATTTAACTACCAACTGGAAGTTTATTGTATTTGCAGTTGCCAGATGAGACATTTATTTCGAAGTAATTGCCAAGGAAAAGAAAAAAATATCGATTTTTTCGAATTCTGAATACCCCTCGTGTCATCATTTAATAATTCGGTTTCAATTAAAATTTTTTTTTTTGGCAAAAAAAAGTGCAAAAACAAAAATAAAAGTTTGACTACTGCTTTTTTACAATTTTTTTTTAAATTGTGTACACTAATATTTTCTTCAATTATTACATTTTTTAATAAAATTCAGCTTTTCGACTATTTGTGTTTGTTTACTCATAACTCAATTTGATTTTTAACAAGTCTCTATTAAATTTAATATTTCTTTTTTAAATTTAACTCCTCACTTGAAAACATTTTTTTTTTTTAATTCATAACATACTTTGTATTAAAATTCTTAAAAATTTGCGTGTTACATATGTAAAAAAAGAGAGAAAACAGATTTCAAAATTATTATAAATATTTATAAAACACAAGTTTTTAACTAATGCATAGTATGTATGCGAATTATGTAAACAAAAATTTAAATGGCACAGTTAAGCAGATAATGAGCACAACTTTATTCATTATACTTAAGCATATATACATATATATATTTTTTAAATAATTTGTGAAATGTTTTTGTTTCTTACATTTTAATATTTTTATATATTAAATAAGTAAGCGTGTTTATTTTTTTATTTTTTTTTTTTTTTTTGTAATAATTAAGCAAATGATTATTATAATTTGCATAAATTATATGACATACATTTATATTATATAACATATTGTACGTTTATATGCCTTGATATAAAATATGAATATGAAATAAAAATTTAAATATAATAATAGTAATAATATGACAGTAAAGAAACAAGCCTCTCTTTTTTTGTAAAATAAAATATGCAATGTTTTACAAATACAAAATTGCAGTAAAAATGCTAACCATTTCAATTTGAGTGTTCAAAGGGGCTTAGATTATTACTGGACTAAGTAATTAACAGCCTTGGTCGAATAAAATGTTGAAGGCTATGGGAAGGGAATGTGTCTCTTTGGTGGTTAAAAAAGCTTTTCTTAAAAGCCGTTTGACTATCACTGCGTATGGCAATACTTTCATTGCGATAGTTGTGTTGGATATTTATTTCTGCACACCAATTTATACGTCCCATAGGAAACAAAAGTTAGGTATGACGTCCTGCTATGCCAGCACCAATGCCTTCCGGATTGCCGCCTATGCGCAGCCGAAGGAAAATGTATGCAGTTTCTGTAGTTGAAGTCCCAGCGAAATTCGTATTTCTTACGATGCCCATGCCACCGCTCTACCTGACAATCCTTGGCTTGAGGCTCGATATTGTACTTGTCAAGCTGTTGCCCACTCTAAATGCTTTTGCTTTTGTATGAATTATTTCATCCTGATGAGTGCTCAAATATTTGACATCCTCTCTAAATAGACTTTGAACGAGTATGGACATGTACAATGCAACATGAATATAAACACCAACAGTTCACATTTTTTGCTTATATGATAAGTATATGTTACTTCCGAAATTTTAAATTATGAATGATTGCCATAAGTCAAATTTTTCGAATAAGCTACACAAAAATTACATTTTTTTTCCGAGCTTTGCATACCATTATATTTTCGAAAGTTTGCGCAAATCATTCACTCAAACTTTCAATTAAACTAAAACGCGCATGCAACCCTGCCAACTGCCAATTGTCAATCTGACATTTTCCAATTGGGCACCACGCACACAACAATTTTGACAAACACGCACACGAGCTCCCGCAAATTTCCACACAGGTCCTCATTGACATTTCTATTGGCCATCGTTTGTGTGAAATTTTTGTTCGACATTTGTCGTTCTTTTACACACATTCGAAAGCAGTGCATTTTCTTCGGACCACTACGTGGAAATTGTGAGTGAAAAGTGTGCTGTAGTTAATGGGTTGAATTTTCGTGTAGCAACAATTAATTTAACAACGAAGCAAATGTATTTACAAAAGTGAAATTAAAGCAACAAGCCGGCTTAATAATAAAAGTAAGAAAAGGCAATTTTACAAAAAAAAATTTACGTAAATTTGGTCAAAATCCGTGGAAAAGTTTATAGTATTTATAGAAGTGTGTGTACATGTATCAGCGAAAAAAAGAAGTGTTTTTGCTTTGAAGCGAAACTTATACAAAAGCGTAAAAGTCAACAAACACGTGAATAAATCGCACAAGTAAAAGTAGTGCACATTAAAAAATAGTTGTAAAAGTTCGAAATCATACTAAAACGACAGGAGAAAGAAGAATTGTTATTTATTTTACATATATATCTAGCTTATAACAATTTACAAGGTATTTTAGGACATTTGAAGTAAATTCTAATAAACAATTTTATACTTATATAAAAAATTACGTGAATTTTATAACAAACGTACGCATAACCAACGCAAATACAGAAACTGACCTCCACAGCAACGAGAAAATTTCGGGCGCATTAACATGTCATCAATCACTTACAAGGAGCGTGTACTCAGCTCTCAACAGCTGAAAAAGTTGTCGGAACACAAATACTCCTGCACAAGCAGCAGTCTGCTGGATCCATGGCTACAGCCTTGGTGGAATTGGCTTGTCTCAATGACGCCGCTATGGTTGGCGCCCAATCTCATTACAATCATTGGACTGGTTGTCAACATAGTGACAACATTAATATTAGTATCGTAAGTATTCAACAATAAATTAAAATAATTGTATGCATATAAATATGTATATATTGTGCAAACTTTATGTACTTCTTTCGCTACAAATATTGACATTTGAAAATTCTTGCGAAAAGTCTAATAGAAGTGCTATATAAGTATCGGTGGCTGTTGCGTAGTAATTTTTATCGCGCTAATTGATGCAATGTTTTTTTCTGATTAGCTACACCTTCGTATGTTAGGAAATTTTTGCAACCTTCCATTTTCGGTATTGCAATTCGCGCTTTTCGCACATTTCCCGTAATTTGCGGTGCTGATGACAACAGCTGCTGCAATAAAAACAATGCTGATGCTGACAGCGCTGCTCTTGCCTCTGCTGCCAATTTGTTGTTATTGAGAGAATTTTGCCGAGAAAGTTGCTATATATTTACACACAACTGCTCTCTTTGTGGTTGCTCAAATAAACCGGATGAAAGCAAGTAACTGGTGATAAAGTGCATTGAGAACAATCAAATGGGGAAATGCAATGTCAAGAAAATATCAAATTTTTGTAAATAGGCGTATTTCCTAGTTTTTAAAAATATTTATACTAAAATATTTATCAATTTGCTTATCTAAAGTATACATTTATGTATGTTCAAACCTTGCTAAGTATTGAAATTCTACTTTTAAAATAAAGCCGGCACTTTTATTTAACACGCGCAGCAAATGCTTCTACTCACAGTTGGCTCTCATGTTATTATTTACTTGTTTTACGTCAATGCTGTCTGCTTTGCATACGAAATAGCTGACTTTATTTGAGTTTTTTGACATTTAATATTTGTTGCCCGTGCATTTTTTGCCCCATATTTGTTGAACTTGCACTTATTGTTAATTGTATAGTGTTTTAAGTGCAGCTGCATTTAAAGTGACCTTAATTTTTTTTTTTTTTTGTGTTTCTCGTAAATTGTGATTTCGCTTACGTTTGGACCACGAAATATACAAAACTAAAAAATTTGCAACTATAGAAAATAATGAATTCACCCAAAAAGGTGATGCTTTAATTAGGAAATCGAACTACTTTGTCGGAAAATTGTCAGCAGAATACAAAGTGAAGTAAATAATTTAGTTTGCCTAGTATTGAAACTTTATGGCTTTTCAAAATATAAAAGTAAATCAATTTATTCACAAAATAATTGTTATTCTCGTTGTTATAGTTTGTACAATGCAATAATGAAATTATTCATGCCTCCTATACTTATACCATAAACAGATTTTTATGACAACAACTTGAAATACATACATACATATGTACATATATTGTAGTTTGTGACTTTGTAACACACTAACTTGCTGCACAGTCTTCGCTACTGACATTAGCTTTCTTTTGATTTTCGTAAAATATTTTCGCCACTTTCGTTTTTGCTCAATCATGTACTAGTATGTAAATATGTATGTACATGCGATTTTAATGATCGCTTTCATCTCATTCACTGTTACCTTCACGCTGTCGCTGTTGCTGTCTATTCCGCCATAGTCAAGCATTGGGCCACATCACAGGTTTTGAAACGCCTTCTGGCTGCTATTAGGTACCATAAACACATTGTTTGAGTACCAGTGTACGCTAAAAGAATGACTAAGCAATACAAATTGATGAAAATGTATGAAATGCATACATGTACATATGTGCTTGTATATGCTTGCATCGGGCAAACAGATGCAATACAGACTAATTGCAGTCAATGCTATAATCTCCCTTGTTGAAATGCGTTCTTTTGTCATTTTTGTTAGTAAGCGTGTGTGTGTTTTTTTTTTAAGTTATTACTTGTTGCATGATTCATTGGCCTATCAGCGTGTTCAAAAATACTAAAATTTAGCAAATTTGTGGCATAAAACACTTGAAATAGTTTTGAAAAAATGTTAGATTTAGAAGTTAGTTCGTTAAAGTTATTTTCCTAAAAAATGTTCCACAATTATTTGTGAACTATTTTATTTATTTAAATGTGAACTCAAGATTTTAAAAATTAATTTATATAAATATCCGGAATATGCTTATTCACAACTTTGAACGAAAGTAATCCGGCTGATCTCGCAAAAAAGTTTTATATGACTTAAGATGAACTTTTGTCTATTTAATAGTAACATTCTAGTTCGTTTTATTAGTCCTTTTTACACACCACAGTGCCCAGCAATCTATGGACGCAGGACTAAGGCCCTTAGATCCATGTTTCTAAATAGGGATCACATCGCCTCATTAGCACCTAGAAGAATATTGGAATTCATCAATTTGCTGAGGCTAGTTGAGACGCTGTGAGCCAGGAGAGGGCACAATAGACCCTAAGTAGCGGTGTAATCCTCGTTCTTTTTTTATCTATCTATCTATCTATCTACATCACAGTAATTATGTTTATTAACTGCCATAAAATATTTAAAAATGCTGCGCACCTGTCGTAACAAGAAACACGTGTTTGTATTGCTTTCAAATAAAAATTACAAAAAAATTAAGTTTTTAAAAAAATTCAGTAATTGAATTACTTTCAATTGACACTGGTTACGTTGGGGAGAACATGTGTATGTTTGTTTACTACTATATGTATGTGTGTATTTATGTACAAACATACTATATGTACAAATGAATTGCCGGTTATGCGATTCCAAGTCTCACGGTGCCATTCTGAGGTCAATTACGTTGATACTAATTTCAATTAAACAGAGACACAGAACGAATGTAGTGATAAAGCAAGCACAAGAAAAGCAAAGTACACAAAACGCACCGAAAGGGTTAAACAAATACCGAATCAGTAATAAAATGGATTTTTTTAAATAATTAATTGTAGCTGACTTTGAAAGCAAAGTGAAAAGAATAAAATCTGCCAGTGAAGGTTCTTTCTACGCATGTCCCCAATGTGAAAGTTCAATAAGAAAAGAATAACAAAGAATATTACTATACAAATTTGCAAATAAATGAATATAGTACCAGATATGCATTTACATAGATAGATAAATAAATGAGGAATGCACTGCGACCTTAGGTCTATTGTGCCCTCTCCTAACTCACAGGGACTCACTTAGCCCCAGCATATTGATGAAGTCCAGTATTCTGCTGGGTGCCAGCGAGGCGATGTGATCCCTATCCGGAGACATGGCTCCAAGGGCCTTCGACCTGCGCCTACAGACTGCAATGCAGTCGATTAGCAGGTGCTCCGGGGTTTCAGGGTCCCTGTCGCAAAATGCCTATTTAGTTTGCAGTGGCCGGTGTAGAATGCGACCAGGATCCTGAGTTTGTTCTACCCCCAACTAGCAGCTTGGCATGACGCATACCGTGCGCTCGTTGCATTTACATAATTCGGCATTTATTTCATAAATTTTCGAAACAAAAGTTAGTCTGGTATATATGATCGGTAGTTCTGCAATCTTTGTTTTGCCATTGATTATTATCTCCTGATTTATGATATAAATATTTTTCCATTATAATAGCTTTCGTAATTTATAACTCAAGTTTGATAATCTTATCAAATAATACAGATGATTAATATATTATGTGTACGTATGCATAACATAACTGCCTAACTCAATTTTATCAAGTTTTAAGAAGAAACTATAATGTTAAACTGTGACTGTAAGGAGACACTAATTGCAGAGAAATACAAAAAAATAAATAATTTTTTTCTTATTTCAGATTATTATATTAAATTTCATATTTATTTCCACAAATTTTGTATGAATTTAGTTTTGGTAGACTGAATATACCATACATAGTACATAAGTACATATTTCAATCTATTGTATTCACTCTTTTTTGTATTTTTCGCATTTTTGTATTGCATTTTTCGTTTAACTACGCAGACCAGACCATGAGTAGGCAAAATAAATGTCACCTTGATTATTCGGTTCTTTTTTATGCACAATATCTTATCGCGTTTAAATATATAAAATCCGATAATACAAATGTCAATGCACTAAAAAAATATTCTTAGGCTTATGTAGATAAATTTGTTTATAAAAGTATATAAAACAACATAAATCCTTATAATTGATTGATATACATATAAAGGTGTACCAAATCGAATTATACCATATGATCAGTGAATCTTAAGTTGAGTAGAGTGGCCTACGTTGTTGCTGTAGCTGGTTGTAATTCTGCTGCTACAGAGCAGAAGACATGAATATATAAAAAAAAATTTGGTTCCTTCATCTACATACAATTGTACATAAAAGAGAGATTCAAATTACATTTATAAATTTAGCACCACAAACACTTTAAGGGGGATATATACAGTTAGAAGGTCGAAAAAAGTGAATTTTCCGGAATTTTTCTGAGAAAATTTTTACATTTTTTTATCGGAAAATTGGTCACATATTATTGTATCTTTTAACTGTATTTGAAGACTTAGTATTAGTAAAAATATTTATTTGGAAAGGAAACTACAGCTGATCTTCGGGAGCTCCTCTCAAAAAATGCCGGTTTCTCAAAAAAAAAAAACGATTTATACCAAAATTTCGGACTTAAATTGTTTATAAAAAATATTTATCGGTTAGGAAAAATCTTCCATTAAGTACTAAGATATATTCTGAAAGGTTTTTTTTTTTTGGAAATTCTAACTGTATATAAACTCTTAATATAGTTTTATAAAGTTTTAGTTTTTGAAATAGGTTTAGCACTTTTTTTTGATTAAGTGATTAGAATTTTGCCACTGTAAGCACAATTTTAGCATTTATTGCTTTGGTATCTGTACACCTGATCTTGTCTACTTCTTAAATATATTTACGATTATATATTTAAGTATACATACATATATACACACCGTCAATTTACTCAATTATTAATTCAAAAAAAAAATAAAATAAAATAAAAATAAAAAATGGTACAAAAATGCATGCGAACGGAATTCCGACTGTAATTGTTGTTTTGTTTGTATTGTTGATTTTATTGTTACGTTATGACTTTTTGTAATATATATACATACATATATATGGACTATTCATACATACCTTTTAATGTCTTTTTGCTGAAATCGGCAGTCGTAATACAAAGGCCATTT